CAAATGAAGGTCACGGCAGAAGTTTTGTGTCGAATGCTGAAATAGGTGTGGTTATGTGACGGATCGTGTCCACGGGAGACAACGATGGGTTCGAAATGGGAAGTGCTACAACGGCAGTGAAAAGGGCTTATGTTAAAGATGAGCATAACATAACGATGATAACGACCATGAGGATAAACGTAATACTGGCTCGTGATGGCCGTGAAGTATATCTGAAGTCTACAACGCATGTTAGATGGTATAATAATAGCACCGCCACGCTACTGGTGATAACGGGCTTGAAAGCACGTATGTATGAAGGATTGCCGGCTAATCGTTGGATATACACACACATACGCGTATGCTTCTATCCATGAATATATTATGATGATGATTATTATTATTATAGGACAGTGACGTTTGAAGTTGTTTTGCGATGATTCAAATGGTGACGTGCGTAGCCAGTCTACGGGTTCGACGATGACGCGGTTAATTTTTGGAAAACCAAATCTCTATCATACGACAAAGATTTTGGCACCTGCTTCTACGGAAACGCGGTCCTGAAGCGTCGTCGAACCCCGATTGATAAAACGGCGATGCACGTCTGTTTGTCGGGAAACGCACCTGAGCTTGCCGGCTCGCAGCGTCTTCAACGGAAAATATACACAGAGAAAGAGTGGGCCAAGATGGAACCCTTGATGCGTTGCGGCTGGTGAACGCATGTTGATTTGACGGACGAGTTGTACATATGAATATCCTTGAATGTCGATGATGATCTTGGTGAGGCCCGAATGACGTTGATTGATCGACTAATGATATTAAAGGCAAAGGGTGTGACACAAAAGAAAGACAGAGAGAGAGGGAGAGGGAGAGAGAGAGAGAGAGAGAGAGAGAGAGAGAGAGAGAGAGAGATGCAATGACAGGAAATTTCCATCATCTGTAGAGAAATTTCCATCATCTGTAGAGAAATTTCCATCATCTGTAGAGAAATTTCCATCATCTGTAGAGAAATTTCCATCATCTGTAGAGAAATTTCCATCATCTGTAGGGAAATTTCCATCATCTGTAGGGAAATTTCCATCATCTGTAGGGAAATTTCCATCATCTGTAGGGAAATTTCCATCATCTGTAGGGAAATTTCCATCATCTGTAGGGAAATTTCCATCATCTGTAGGGAAATTTCCATCATCTGTAGGGAAATTTCCATCATCTGTAGGGAAATTTCCATCATCTGTAGGGAAAATTCCATCATCTGTAGGGAAAATTCCATCATCTGTAGGGAAAATTCCATCATCTGTAGGGAAAATTCCATCATCTGTAGGGAAAATTCCATCATCTGTAGGGAAAATTCCATCATCTGTAGGGAAACCGAACTCTCATCAGGTCAGAGAGGAGCACCCACAAGCGATGCGAAGGCTACGAAACAAAAGACTTCGTGGTCCGCAAATACTGGTCAAGTTTCCAGGGCAACCAATCTTGCCGCCTCTTCTGTAAGGACACAACAGACTGTCCAAGGAGCATTCCAACCTTTCTATCTTAACCCGTTGAATGTCTACGCGCCCAGTAGCAACAGCAACGTTTTGCAGGCCAACTCTAACGGGAATATTATCGGATACCTAGCTACAGGAAGCAATACGCAAGTTATTAATGCGTCCCAGCTTGTTGCCGCACTATTGCAAACCGGTCAGCTGCTAACGACAGCCAATGTCGGAAATGCAAGTCAGGTTCCAATGGCCCTTGCTACGAGTAATGCTACGAACACGACTTACGTTCCTGCTACGCCGACAACCACAGTTGCAACATCCACGAATGTATACGCCATGGCTACCGCTGCACCCTATGCCATAAGCAATCTCCAGCAGGCTACATTTACATCGGCTAATGGTACTACTAGCGCATTGAAGCCCCAGACGCTGAACTTGAACGGAGTGCCAGTTAACGGGTACGTCCTCAGTCTCCAGGAACAAGATTCGAGTAACTCTGGACAAACGGCGTATTATCATGTGGCTACTGCCAGTGATCAAATTACTCAGACAGTTTTACCTAACATTAAACTACAGCAGCAAGACATTCAGTCACTATTTAATGATAGCCAGCAACAAAACTATTACGAGTACCCGATGTATGCTACTTATCAAAGTAATAACACCTCGACCAATGCAAACAGTTACTACTCAACTTACTACTAGTAAAACTCTACTCAACTTACTACTAGTGAAACTCTACTCAACTTACTACTAGTGAAACTCTACTCAACTTACTACTAGTGAAACTCTACTCAACTTAACTACTAGTGAAACTAAACTCTACTCAACTTGCTACTAGTGAAACTAAACTCTACTCAACTTGCTACTAGTGAAACTAAACTCTGCTCAACTTGCTACTAGTGAAGCTAAACTCTGCTCAACTTGCTACTAGTGAAGCTAAACTCTGCTCAACTTGCTACTAGTGAAGCTAAACTCTGCTCAACTTGCTACTAGTGAAGCTAAACTCTGCTCAACTTGCTACTAGTGAAGCTAAACTCTGCTCAACTTGCTACTAGTGAAG